TCCAAGTTTAAAACCATAGGCCTAAAGATGTTGCCAAATTATTCAGGCAAAAGTATCAATCCAAGTCAATCAAGTGATTGAATTCATATTCAATTAACTAAAAATTTGATTCCTATTTTGATTTATTTGGGGCATCTTTAGGATTGATTATTCAGAAAGTTGAACTCTAATGATAAGCTGTCCAGATTATAAGATATCCGTAAAAATTTTGGTAATATTTGGGCCAGTTGGAAAGAGTAACTCTCCACTGAACTTTTTTTTTCTTCACGGTAAGTTAAAATTGTTATAGCTACATAGGTATAAATTCGCATTTGATTTGATTTATTCGGTTCATCAATTTTAGCCAAAAGTAAATAACTGCTGCATCACATTCCACAAGGTTCCGTTCAGTTGATAATTTTAGCATATCAAAATGGAATAATAACCCTAAAAAAAAGTCACAAGATCTCTCTCTTTCAATTCTTAAATTTAGAACGATTGTAGGTGGAGTAATTTTAAATCTATCTATTTTTTAACTCAATTGAGAAGGTTGCAGCCCTTGATCTTGTTTTTCAGAATTTGGGACTCGACCATTTTCGGCCCCAAATAGTTGGTGCTTTAAAAAAAAAAATTGGGTGGATTCAGTTTCAGCCACCACTACGAGTCATTTACAAAAGTTTGTACAGAGCACTAGTAAATGTAATTATCATATCCACACCTAAACTCAAACACACAAAATTTGTTAAAAAAGTGATCCTACTTTACCAACTGAATAAACTTATGTTAGCTAAATAGTCGGTGATACTTTAGGGTGGAAAATTGGAAATCATATACAATACATAACTTAATAAGCAAAATGTTTGCATAACTTTCTATTTGCATAACTCAGACTATCTTTAACAAAACGACCATGAATCTTGATCAAGAATTTTCTAAGCCCATGGAGTTAAGCAAAATGTCACTACTAAACCTTTTCCATTTGAAAGCTTTTCTCTATTTTTCTAAGCAAAAAAAATCTCGTTTATTGTATTGTCACATGAATTTCTGGAGACAACATAATTTTCCGGGCCTTGTACTTTAAAACAAGAATTGTTCTTTCCCCCTCACGTTTAAGGTAGACAAATGGTAAGTGATCCTGGTATGGCTATTGTAACTTTTTGGTTGAGTTGAGAAATGTCCCTCTCACCTAATGAGTGGTTAAATTTCAAAAATCACTGGAATTGGAATAATTAGGGGGCGTTTGGTAAGAGGGTATCGGATTCGGGGAATGGAATGAACCCCATAAATGGTGTTTGATTTACTGGAATGGGAATTGAAATCTTGGAATGATTTCTAAAAATTTGGTGTTTCTCCATTCCCAAGTATTTTGGTGGGTTTTGTCCGATTCCCAAGTTTGATTCCAAGAAACAAATCCAATTACATATTATAATTATACAATGATATAATTAATATTTATATTTATTATATATTATAATATATACATATATATAATATATTATAATTATAATATTAGTACATTATATAAATATATATTATAATTATTTAGTTAAATATAATTATATTCATATAATATATATTATAAATTTATTAATATTATATAATAATATATTTATAATGTATATGTATATTTATAAATGCATATTATATGTGCATATGATTATAATATACACATGTATATAATATTAATAAATTATACATTTATATTTATATTTATATTTATTATTTTAAATACAATAATATCTAATAATTACTATATCTAATATTAATATGCATTATACTTATATAAAATATGAGTAAAATTAATATTTATATATTATATAATTATAATTATGTATTTATTTTATAGCGTTTGTATAATTATAATTAATTATATATATAATATTTAATTTAATTAGTTACAAACTTATAATAATGATGTTATTGTATTATATAATTATATATTATAATTATTTAGTTAAATATAATTATACTTATATAATATATATTATAAATTTATTAATATTATATTTATAATATATATGTATATTTATAAATGTATATTATATGTGCATATAATTATAATATATACATGTATGTAATATTAATAAGTTATATAATTATAATAATTATTATTTTAAATATAATAATATATAATAATAACTATATTTAATATGTAATATATATTATATTTATATAAAATATTATTATAATTAATATTTGTATATATTATATAATTATATAATTGTATATTTATATATTTATATTATAACATTTGTATATTTATATTTAATTATATATATAATATTTAATTTAATTAGTTACAAACTTATAATAATATTATTATTATTTATATGTATTATATAATGTATATTAATTTATGTAATATAATTAATATTATCCATTATACTAATAATTATACATGTTTACTAATAGAAATTATTAATTAGTTAGACTAAATTTACTAATATATTTATACTAATATATTTAATTAGTGAAGATTTCTTATATCCCATTTACAAAGAGTCAATAACTATCATTTACAATGGGGTTTATAATATATTTATTATATTCCATTCCGAAAGAGTCGACGAACCAAACATCAACTATAGTAATGATACGCATTCCAGGTACTTGAACCAAACAAATGTATTGGAATGAATGACCTCATTCCAAACCCAAGATATCCGATTCCGAATCCGAATCCAATACCGATGTAGGGAAAGTCTTCAAGCTCAAGAACAATTTCAGCCACAATATTCAACTTTTTTTTTTTTGGTCCTTAGCTGCAACTTGGAACATGATTAGAACTGTTAATCGAATCGGGTAGCTTGCGAGCCGAGCTCGACCCGGCTCGATAAGGGCTCGGCTCGGCTCGTTTACAGAGAGAAATGATCAAGCTCTACTCAGTACTCGTATATGCTCGGCTCGTTGAAGCTTGGTAGGCTCGAAGAGTAGGGGCATTAGCATCATTTCATTGTATATGTGGTATTCTAACCTAAGTCATTCTCCCATTTGTAGCCCTAATTTTTCTTTCCTCTTTTGGTCTTATCTTTTCCCGTTCCACAGCCGCAGCCGCAGCCGCAACCGCACGCCCGTAGCCTCTATTCTCACCACCGTCACCGACTCACCATTCTCCAATGCATCCATCATCTCACCTCCATCAGGACCATCACCTATCCGTCCACCATCTCACCGCCAGGCGCCATCCCTAATTTTTTCTTTCCTCTTTTGGTCTTTCCTTTCCCCGTTCCACAGCCGCAACCGCACCCTCCATTCTCACCACCGTCACCGACTCACCAATCCATTCATCTCACCTCCATCACCAATCCGTCCACCATCTCACCGCCATCATTCAATCCCCTTCTCGTGAATCTGTGAGCAGCGCCATACGGAGCCATCTCGGTAGAGCCAGGGGCCTCTACCATATCCCAATTTGCTGCATTCTGGTAACCATTTCTTCTCAATTTTTGCAATTTATTTTGGTTTTAAGAGGCTGTGTGGGTTTTGGTTAATGGTGGATAGCCCCGTATCCCGTATGGCTTCCCCGTATCCCGTTGGCTTCCTGTGTTTTATCTCTGTGTTTTATCCCAAATTTCACCTGCACGGATTGCTTATGCATCGCTTAGTGGATTTGTGGTTTCAAATAGCATGTCTTTTACCCGCTAAATTGGATGTGCTGGCATTGGAGATTTTGTCAATTGCACTGCCTGTTGTGCTGGCTCTTCTGGCAGACCCAATTACTTCATTAGTAGATACTGCATTTGTTGGCCATTTGGGTAATTTCCTTAGAATCTTTTTACGCGACTTTTCTTCTAGAGCTTCATCCAACATATGAAAGCCCACCATCTGCGTTTTTTATGCTGATAAATTGCACATATACGTAATAACCTTTTATTAGGGTGCAAGTTTCACAAATGATGACTTGCTAAAACTTGATCTTGGCTCTTTTTTTTTGACTGAAATGTGAAGCAAGAGGTGGTAAAGAAATTCCTGCCAGTGTTATTACTGAACACTCTTTGTCCAATCATTTCGTTTACAAATGTCCACATATTCGAGTTTGAATCTTCTTTGGTTCTTAAGTATGGTGCATCATGTAGGATCGATTGAATTGGCAGCAGTAGGGGTTTCAGTTTCATTTCGTTCAGACCATGGAATAGTTGCTGCGATTAAACTTGTGTCTCTAAGAAAATAAAGAAGGAAACATCACTTTTTGTCTCTGTGCTCTTTGATTTCTGCATTTTCTAATCCATGTTATAGAACTGACTGTTGATATTTCCTTAACAGAGCTAGTCATCTTCTTTTCTTTAGCATGTGATATTTCTTCCTGTTTTGCACTTTTGTTTAAGCTTGACGGTGAAAGCATTTTTCAACTTAGAAGATTCTGCAAGGCAAAACTTTCTTCATTTTAGTTTCTTCATTTAAGCAAAACTAACTTTTTGTTTGGATTGCCATTTTAAGAGTTTTTCTCTGTTGTTTCATTAATCTGAATGTAAGCTTGAGAATTGAGATAGGAACAAGTTAAAGAAATGTTAAAATTGGTTTGAAGTGGGCATTATTTCTTGGAATCTGTTTTATTACTTTTATACCTTATTTCTTAGAAATGTTATTCTAAATTTCTGTTTTGGCTAATCAGAATCTGTATTGGTTATTAAATGTGTTTTGATTAAGGAATGTACTGCTCTCCATTCAACTCATTTCAAGGTTCATCATCAAGTCCTGTGATGGAGCAAAATAATGAAGACGTGAAACAATTGAACTACAACGAAGAAAGAGCTGATGAGATGAGTGAAGAAAAGATAGAAATGATAAAATATGAGGGCAATGAAGGAGGACAGCAAGTAGATGGAGATGAAGGAGCTGGTCCTTTTGAGAAAAAGCAAAGGAAGAAGAAATCCAGCATATAGGATGAAATAACAACAGTAGTGCTAGATAATGGGACGGTCAAAGTGAAGTGCAACCATTGCAAGGAACTTTTTGCCAAGAGTGCAACCAGAGCCACATCTCAGCACAAGAGACACTTGAATTCTTGCCTACAAAGAAAGATGGCCATTGGGGAGCAAAGCAAACAAAAGCAACAAGTGCTGTCATACACCGAAGGCCCAAGTGATGGTATCACTTCCATCACAAATTTCTCGTATGATCATGCCAAGGTAAGAGAGCTTGCATCACACATGATTCTTGCACATGAGTACCCCTTTTCTTTGATGGATCATGTAATTTTTAACAAATTCATGAAAGCGGCTTCTCCATTTTATAAAAAGATTAATCGGCAGACTGTTAAGGAAAATTGCATTAGTACTTATATAATTGAAAAAATGAAGCTGAAATCATTGTTGAAAGGTGCTAGTAGGATTAGTATTACCACATATTTGTGGAAATCTGGTCAAAAAATTCAATATATAGTTGTGATTGGTCATTTTATTGATTCTGATTGGGTGCTACAAAAACGTGTGTTGAATTTTTGCAATGTTCCTCCTCCTCATACTGGAGTTATTATAACCGATGCTCTAAGTAAGTGCTTTATTGATTGAGGGATTGAGAATAAGGTTTCTAGCATAACTGTTGATAATGCTTCATACAATGATGTGTACATTAGGAGACTTAGAGAGGATTTTTCTCTAAGAAAAAGATTAAGTATTGGAGGAAAAATTGTTCATGTTAGATGTTGTGCACATATATTTAATCTCTTAGTGCAAGATAGTCTTGGTCAACTTGGTGGTGTGATTAATGTTGTTAGAGAATGGATAAAGTACTTGAATAATTCTGAATCTAGGCTTCTTGAATTTGCCAAAATTAAAAAACAGCTTCAGTTGCCTTCTAGAAAGCTAATTTTGGACTGTCTAACAAGGTGGAATAGCACTTATTTGATGTTAGCTTCGGGTTTAGAGTTCAAGGATGTGTTTCCAAGATATGCAGACATTGACCCTGGATTTCACTATGTTCCTACTGATTTTGAGTGGATGAAAGTGGAAGAAGTGTGCAAATTTTTAGAAATATTTCATGAAATCACTGATATGATTTTCGGGTCCGAGTATCCACCAGCTAATATTTTTCTTGTGGAGCTCTATAGGATTAAAGAGCTTTTAAATAAAAAAGCTCTTGACCCTTTTGAGCATATTCGGGCTATGGTTGGAAGTATGTCTACTAAATTTGATAAGTATTGGGGGAAAAGTAATGTGCTGCTATCTTTGGGTGCAATTTTGGATCAGAGATGCAAAATGTTTCTTATTAATCATGCTTTTTCGGTGATTTATGGTGAGGATACAGCTCCTAGATTCATGGCTAAGATTAGAGACATTCCTTATGAACTTTACAATGAATATATTGATTGTCACATTGTTTCCCATTCTGAACAACAACAGAGGCAGGTTGTAAAAAGGAGACAAAATGAAGGTTCTAGTTTTTCAAGTAAGAAACAGAAAATGACTGGACCCGCCGTTTTAATTGGTAAAGAAAAGTTTCACATGCATGTGAGTGAAATTGACAGGGCTCCACCAGAAAAATCAGATTTAGATGTTTATTTAGAGGAAAGTATGTATGCTTGTGATGCAAATGCAAATCTGGATGTTTTGGGTTGGTGGAAAGGGGAAAGATTGAGATTTCCTATCTTGTCGAGGATGGCTGCCGATATACTCTCCGTTCCTGTTACAACTGTGGCTTCAGAATCTATCTTCAGCGCCGGAGGTAGAGTAATTGATGATCGACGAGTTTCTATGTCAGTTGAGACGGTGCAAATGTTGCTTTGCGGCAACGATTGGATCCGCAGTTTTCATGGCCTAAAGAATAAGTCTCGCGTAAGTAATTGATTGGATGTTTTTATTGTTGTTACAATTTCCTTATATCTAATTTTGAAGAATTTTATAACTTTCATACTTTTGTTTTGTAGGAATCACTTGATGCTGCCGAATCAATCATATTTGAGGAAGTTGAACTTCCTGAATCATTCACAACCTGATTTGGTGGCTGTTGATGTTGTTTGGTGGCTGTTTATATAATTTTTCATGTTATAATCTGATCCAATTTAGACATTTTGGTTTGGACATGTTGTAATCTGATCTAGTTTGGACATTTTGGATATGTTGTCTCCCGTAAACAAGCTCGAGCTCGAGTTTCGAGCTCGAAAAGTTCGGCTCGAGTTCGAGCTCGAGCTTTGAGCTCGATAAGCTCGGTTCAATTTCAAACTCGAGTTCGAACTTGAGTTCGAGTTTTCTATCCAGTACATCGAGTCGATCTCGAACGCCTTGTGAAGCTCGAATTACTAATCGAGCGAGCTCGAGCTAGCTCAATTACAAGTTCGAGTCGAGCTCAATTGTCATATGCTCGAGCTCGACTCGGCTCGTTTAACAGCTCTACATGATGACATGATGGACACCATGATAGTAAGAAACAAGAAATTTCAATCAAGTCCATTTGGATGAATGCGGATTGGGCCCTCCAATGTGGATATGGCCCAATTGGACTCAGGTAAAATCTATTGGTTTTCCCATTTGCGTGAATGCCAATTTGGCCCTCCAATGTGGCAAAAAATTCAATCAAGTCCCTCAAAAGTTAACATCTTCCTTTTCCCTCTTAAAAACGGAAACATTGTATCAATTCAACCCCTCAATTTGATTCAATTAATAATTGACTAGTCAATGAGGGGCTCAAACACACATTGAAGAACAAATTTGGGGGACTCTATGTAGTATGCAGCATAGTAATTTCAGCATAATCTTGCAGAGAAAAATGCAGTTTTGGTATCCAAATTTTGACATATGAGCAATTTTAATTCCCAAACTTTGAACAAAAGCAAATTTGGTACCCAATCTTTCAATTTTTAAGCATATTTAGTACCCTTGATGGATTTTTCTTAAATTACTATCGGAAATAGTCACATAACAGTCACATGTCCAGCAGCTAGTGTATAAAAAAATGTCAAAAAATGTAAAATTTAGTCCTTAAGCCTAGTACTTAGTGCCAAAAAGATATTTAACTTTTTTAGGTATTTTTTTATACAATAGTTGCTAGATGTGTAACTATCACGTGACTCTTTCCGATAGTAATTTGGGAAAAAAATCGTCAAGGGTACTAAATATGCTCAAAAGTTGAAAAATTAGGTACCAAATTAGTTTTTATACAAGGTTTGGGGACTAAAACCACTCGTGTGCCAAAATCTGGATACCAAAATTGCATTTTTCTCTATTCTTGCATTTCATTACTACTGTTGTTTCTCTCGCTTATAATTGTTTCAGCTAATCAAAGGTTGAGATGCTAACATTCAAAAGCTAACATGAAATTATAATTAGAAAGGCATAAAAGAAAATATCGAAATCCTGATCCTTGATATGTCTGGTAAGATCAAATATACAGCTGTTCTCTTGTATATCATTGAACATGTTTGAAAGGCTTACAAAGTTGATCACCAAACAAGACTATTAAAGCTGTTCTCTCAGCCATATGCATGTGATATACCTATTCGTATGGCTCAGTGTGTTTGTGTGCGCACGTGTACGCATCAGCAAATGGGCAATTTCCTACTTAGAACTTAGAACTGTAGGTGTTATGATTTAGAACAAGACACACTATAATAATTCGGTATTTGTAGAGACAGTTGAATTTTTTTATCATTCCAGGAAAGTAATTATATTGCTAGAACAGCAAGCAACAAGTTAAGTATGTAAAGTTTATGTACGGCTGTGTGTGGATAAGTGTGTGTACATGACTGCACGTGGAATAAACATTATTTGCGTGTAATTGTAAACATGAATGTACAATTAGTTGGGTTAATATAGCAAACTCTCATGTGGTTTCATCGAAAGGCAATCAGCCACCTATAGTTTTAAAATATTTGAATAACCCCCTTATACTTTAAATTGATGTGGAATTTAACTTATAACCGATTGATCATCAACAAGTGATGTGTAATTTTTTCTATAAGGTGTTGAAGATTTCTTTACTTTTTCTTTCCTTTTCATTATTGCCATTAAAAGGTGTTTATGTTTTGATTAAATTTTTGGAGTATTTTTAAATTTTGAAAAATTATCCTCTTTCTCTTCTTTCCTTCCCCCTCCACCACTACCCTTGACCATCCTTAGCTTCCTCCATCCCAACCACCTTTATCCTTCGCCACTATCGTCTGCTTCCCCCTTTTCTTTTCTCTCCAGCACTACTCCATCTTCTCTTCCTACTCCTTCCTTCCTTCTCTTCTCCCCGTTTACCACCCCTCTCTCTCCCCTCAATTTCTCGCCTCCTCCATCCTCTCTTTCCTCACCTACAATCAAATCCCCTCCTCTTTTTTCTTCAACACCACCCTACTTCCCTCTTTTGCCTCTTCTTCCCTTCCTCCTCCTCTTCTTTGGTTATTGGTGAGGAAAGAGAGGATGGAAGAGGCAACAAAATAGGGGAAGAAGGCAAGAGATGGTAGACAAGGAAGAAGGAGAGAGGATGAAGGAGGGGGAAGAGGAGGAAGAAGGGAGGGTGTGGTGCTAAGAAGGACAGAGACGGTGGCAAAGAGGAGGGAATGTCGGGCAGTAGTGGTGGATTTTTTTTGGATCATCTCATGTAGGATTTATTTTAATTGGTTTGAGGATTTTTATGTTATTTTGAGATTATTTGATTAAGGTCTTGGTATTCTTTGAGATAATTTGATGTTAAAATCAATCGTGGTCATTGATGATAGAGCTAGTATTCACCGGTGTTTATGCTTCTGGTTATGAAGCAAAAAAGTAAAAAGGAAAGGAAAAAATGCAAAAAATAAAAAAAGGTATGACAAAAGAAGAAAAGAAAAAGCATATTGGATGATAGCATGAGAGTGTGTATGGTAGTAGTGGCAATGTTGCTGCGCGGTGGTGGTTAGGTTGCAACTAGAGATGTCAAAATGGGTAATTTGGACGGGTTTGATTTGGTTAAAATGGATAATGGGTATAAGTGAGTCAACTCATTTATACCCATTTAATTAGATAGGTATAAATGAGTAAATCAAAAAACGAATTGGATAACCCAATTACCCATTTATAACCTATTTATTTTAACCTTTTGTAAACTCATTTAAATTTATTTTTGCAAACTAAGTTATCAATTTATACCACCCTTTGCACCCATTATTAGTTTTAAATATTTACTTATAATGCTCAATAAGACTAATTACCAATTTTTTCTCATTCGTACTCTATGTCGCAAAATTACATACTATTTTAATAATTAAACAATGAGAATATAAAAATTTGAACTAAGCGCTATAAAAGTTAACATAAAAATTTAATCCAAAATTTTGAACTCTAAGCATTTTTTTCGTGTGTAAATTTAAATTTTCATTTTGAAAAGGAAGAAAAAGAAGCTAAAACTTGTCATAAATTCAGAATGCTGAAAAATGAGCAAGTTAACAAATTAAGATAAAATAAAATGATAAGATAAAACCATCAAATAATAATAATAATAATAAAACAAAAGTAGTTAACATTATGTCAAAATGAAAAATCTGAGAAAAAAAAATGGGTGGGGGAAGAGAGGTGGTTTGGGGGAAGACAATTCTAAATGAGTTAATTGGTTTGATGGGTTACCCAATAAAACCTATTTATTAAATAGGTATTATTGGGTAACTCATTTATACTCATATACAAAAATTTAAGATACACATACCCATCTATTCATGGGCGGGTATAGATAAATTTAATTAAATGGATTTATTTGCCATCATAGTTGCAATGATGGGGTTGAACGATAAGGGAAGAAGTTTACTTTAGAAGATTTCAGTTTAATCCACTAAGTTTTCAATATGGCAATATTATGTAGAAATATTTGGATATGGCAATGTTACTTCAGGAAACCCTCATTTTGACCCCTAAGAATTTTGAATGGCAATGCTATGTCTCTAAATTAATATTTTTCTTATTAATAAAGGAGGATATGACCTGCTAGTGGAGATTTAGCAAGTCAGGATCAACTTTTCATATTAGTTTAAAGTACCAGAGAATTATGTGGACATTTTAAAATTATAGAATGATCGGTTGTCTTTTGACGAAACCACAAAAAATTTCGTGTTTATGTGTCTGTTTATTCTTTCAACAAGATCCTTACGGACAAATCCTTTCACAAGATATTCTGATACTGTGTGCTTTTTATATGTCTGTAATGGCTTTTTGGGTCAAGTTCTTGTGTACATATTCGTGTTTCTTTGTGGGGTGCAAAGTGTGGTTGAGAGATGGGGACTAAATTCCCAGTAAAGAAAATGTCTTTTTCTTTTTCTCGGTCAATTTTATTCATTTCTTAGCATTTCCATGTGTGCATTTCAATTCAAGGTCAATAACATAGAAAATTTGATTTCTTGGCTAGTGGGTGGTCGCCTAACTTCGAGATCCCACAAAAATGTACGCACAAAAGTTTGCATTGCAAACTTACTATGATCTCACAAAAAATTTGACTCCACCAAGCACATACATTTGTGTGTGGTAACCTCATGAACTAATCATTTATTCTAGGTTTCTTCAGCTATATATAACGAGTAAATTAGTATAGATAGACATGATTTGGATGCTTACCGAGATCGGTCCGTTCAACCCTGAGAAATTTTGGGCCGAGCCTTATAAGATTTTTGATTGAACAAATTTTAGGTCTAAATATAAGGCCCGATCAAATTTTGAACACTTTTTGAATTTAACAACACTTATCTATAAAGCCCGACTCAAGTAACTACTAATGAAAATATGTATATTATATGTATAATAATGTGTACAATTCAATAATTATACATATATATATATGTAGTTTATAATTTAGATGTAATTTTACATTGAAATATAATACTGAACACATAATTTAGTAGAAATTGTGAATTTGAGCTGAGCCCAAAATAGACCCTCATGTATTGGACTTGTCATGTGAGCCCAAAGCCCAAAAACCTTATTTTTCTACATTTTTTTGTGCCCAATTGCCACCTACAGGCAAGATCAATTGATGTTTTTGGTCATTGGCGTCAAG